CTTAGGGTAAAATGACCATTTTACCCCTAACCAAGTCCAAGTCAAAGTCAACTTCCAGTTGACCCGACTCGCCGAGTTGGTCCGTCAACTCGTCGAGTCCCTTCCCTTTACTCATCCTTATCCACGACTCGACTCGTCGAGTTTGGCAACGACTCGACGAGTTCCCCTTCCTTACGAATATCAATGAACCTTCATCCGACTCGCCGAGTCGGATGAACACTCGCCGAGTTCACCTTCAACTGATGAACAAGTCCTGACCTTGACTCGCCGAGTTGTACGAACAACTCGTCGAGTTCATCTCCAAACATAAGGAGATTGCCTTGGACTCGCCGAGTCTGTTCTAGCACTCGTCGAGTCCCATGAACTCCAGGTCTAAAATTAAGTCCAATGCGTTGGGTCACTCTTTCTGTCCTGCTACAACCCTTCTAACACCCAACTGAGTCCTTCTGACCCTCAACAGATATGGGACTCAAAGCCTTGGACTCGTCGAGTCCCAAGAACGGACTCGCCGAGTCTATAACATCCACACCCTAAATCCTCGATTTCTGATGTACAACACTTGACCAAAAGGTAGATCTAAGCTCCTTCAATCGTTCTAGCACGTAAAGTTACAAACTTTACGTGCATGCATGGGACTTTGAGCTCAAAAGGACATAAAACAAGCTTTAGTGTTGCATGGGGCCTTCCTTGGGTGCAAAAGCAACCTAAATCTGCCTTGTGACCCCTATAAAGACCCGATTCCAAAGCCTCAACCCCCAACCATGTTTGCAATCATGGTTGGTTACCAAAAATGGCTTATAAAAGCCCTAAATCTCCCCAAAAAGGGATCTATCAAATGAAAGAGCAAGGTACAGACTTTATACCTTTCAAAGACTGCAAATGATGAACCAAACTCGAATCCTTCAGTCCCCTCTTGATCCTTCTATGCTCTTCCTTCTTCCTTGAGGTCAAAACCCACAAGAATCACTCAAAAGCCTTAGATCTTGCACCAAAACACTTAGGGTTTGCTATGGAGGGTTTCTGGGAGCATAAAGGGGCGATGGAGGCTGCATAAGGTTGTTTAAATAGGGTACAAACCCTCAGATTAGGGTTTTGTCCAGTCAGAGAGCCTACTCGTCGAGTCCGGGACCCGACTCGACGAGTCCATCACTTAAATCCCGCGTCTCATCCCGCTTCTACTCGGCGAGTTGGTCCTTAAACTCGTCGAGTCCAAGGCCAAAAATGCAAAATACTTAAATAAAATACATACCAGGAACCAGGTGCTACAGTTGGGGGTGTGTTTATTTAAATAAATTAAAAAATCAAGGGCAAAATAGTCTTTTTATATAAGACAGAATCCAAGTGCGTAACAAAAACAAACAGTAGACTTTCCGAGTTAAAAAAATAAATTAGGAACCAAACGCGCAAACGCGCAAACTCCATCCTATTTATCTTATATTAATTATATATCCATTTCTTTAGTCTGCTGGGTATGGGCAATGCCCCTTGGGGCGTTATTGGGCGTTATAACACGCAAACACCGCCCATTCCCCGTTATTAGGCGCTATACGTCTGCGCGTTGCTTCCCGTTACCACCACCATCTTCCATTCACGTCGTTTTTCTTTTTTTTCTCAAAAACACCGACAAGGTTAATTTTCAATTAAGATATTGTTTTCGGCTAAATTGTCAACACAATTTCAAGGTAAATTTTGATTCTTATCGTATATTTTATTTTATGTTACTTATAATTAATAATTTAATTATATTTGATAATTTGATTTATTATAATCATAAGCTAAATTATTAGCAAGAAAAAAAATGATTGATTCTTTTTTCAAAATAAAAAAAAAATATGAGTCAATGTTTATGGTCTATTGAAAATTTTTAAATATTGATTATTATAATGATCGATGAAGCTTCTATCTCGACAATTTTTTTTTTCAATTCTTCTTTTAAAATTGAAATATCTCGAATAACATTATATTTATTTATTTTTTTCAATTCTTCTTTTAAAATTGAAATATCTCGAATAACATTATATTTTAATATATTATTCCGTTGTGACGCTATCAGCTATTAAATCGAGTCTTGAATCAAGGATCATAAAATTGATTCAACTGAATACGTGAACTTGAAAACCTCTTGCAATTACAAATCATATAGAGTTCAATTGCATATAGAAAAAAGACAAAAACAAAAGGAATCGCGTCCTTTATACAAGAAAAAGAAGCCTACACAAACATTTACCATAACTTTACACAGACAGATTTCAATTTCCAAGTATCAAGAAGAGAAGAGACCATTAATGGTTGCAACCCCGATCTTCGATTTAGGCTCATGAACCAACTTGTTTAGACGAGGCCTCTTCTTTATCCACAGTCCAGAACCCACAGTAGATAAAGGAAGTAACTCCAGATCTTCATGATCACTCGACATTTTCTTCATCATCATCATCTTCTCGTATTCTTCCGCCATTAATATTGCTATATCCGTCATTCTCTCTCAATTAATTTTGGTGTGATGGATGTAAGGAGGATGAACCCGAATGTCTGGCTTTAATTATTTATAGGGGTGGGAGTATTTAAATGAGGGGAATGGATATGGATGAGGATTCAGTTTTCCGGTGGATTTGTTTACGAGTGTTATTGGTGTTGGTTTTGGAATCTTGCCCATAGGATTCTCAGTCAGTTGCAATTCTTGGATAGTTGTATTGATAGTGGTCTCCTTTTCATCTAACTGACTTCTAATTTTCTCCCTAATCCATTTTAGTTGGTATTCTTTGAGATTAATAATACTAATAAGCTTTTTTTGGTTTAAATAACTAGAAAATAAAATAAAAATTACATTGTCCATAAAGATAATGATTTTAACTCCATTGGACCTAAAAATTTGTGTTTTGAAGGCCCATATTTCTCCAATGGACTTTTATTCTTGCCGACATTTTGATATATTATTGCCGGCATTTTGATATATAGCAACAGCATCCCATCAAATTGGTGTGAAACTGTTATATATATAGCAACACCATCCCATCAAATTGGTGTGAAACTCTTCATCACCACTAAATCTATATACATATTATAATATTATAATTGCGGCACAACTTTTTGTTCGTTTATCCGTTACGTCTATATAAAATTTTCTTCTTTGCTTAAAATATAAATTGGGAATATTATATATTTCTTTTCTATCCTTTTTTAATAATAAAAGAAAACATTACTTTTATCCATTTGTTATGGAACCTATACAAAACACTCGTTTATTATATATTTTATAGTTTTGATGATTTAACAAAATAAAACAATTAATACAAAATGATTTTATTAGATAACAAACTTAATAAATATAGCATAGATAGTAAACGAAAAACATAAATAAAATACAACTAGTTTTTATTTATATTGTATTCCAATGTAGTTATATAATATTTTCAATTTACTTTTAAAATGTAATTTTTATTTTATTTATGTTGGAAAATCAGTTAATACTATTATTAATAACAACAAGACCAAATTGCACCCATACCTATAAACGAGGACCATTTCTGCCAACTCTTTAGGAACTTTACTGTTCCAAGGAGTGACCTCCTTTAATATATATATTAATTAATATATTATAATAAAACTTAGTTAAATAAAATCATATAATGTTAAAGAAAATAGTATTTTATAATTATAATATTAAAATATGTTTATAGTGTTAATTTTTAGTGTTTGGTTGGAATTGAAAATGATTTTTGTATGATTTTTACACAAAAATAATATGATTTTTAGTGTTAGCCTTGGAGCTGGTCTAATAGAGTAACATATTTTTTGATTTGTACATATGTGGTCCTTGATTTTTTTTGTCCACACTTACCCCTTGAACTTGTCTTCATATACATGTTTACTCCTTATGACCGGCTAATGCACGTTAAGGCGGTCATCAAGGGTTTTACATGATTTTAAGAAAATAAAAAATACTTACGCGGAATAACCCTCTTTCTACCCCTCATTTAACAAGAACAACAATTAGGGTTCAATTATTGACCCTCTATTCTCGATCACCACCTCATTTACTCACCCTCCCGTTCTCTTAAAATATCATTCGGAAGCCATGAAAGAAAATCAAGGTTTTCCAATAGTCGGTGTACACTACAATGTGACTTTTGTGCCCTATCCCTTAGTGTATTTTGCTCCAGACATAGTACGACTAAGAAAAGATATGAATGGTATGAATTTCTCTGGTTTCATCAAATATGTTGAAGAGCTTATTGATTTTTAGTGCAAGTATGTGTATTTCCGTCTATATGAAGTCAGTTGACTGAGGGGCATCATACAATACAAAATGATTGTGACTACTCTGAGTTTCTTGAGGTTGCAAATGCTCACAGACATGTGAATGTGTATATTGATCACGATAATAAACCTCTGTTTGAGGGGATTGAGAAGGAAGAGTCAAGCCCTAGGAACCTCATTATGAATATGAAGATGTTGACCCCATTATAGCAGATAGTGAGAAGTGTGAGCACGAAGAGGACGATGAAGTTATATCAAGCAAAAGAACCTTAAAAAAACAGTAAATTGTCACTTTTGAACAAGTTATGTCCGATAGAACATGATGATGAAGACTTTAATGAACAACCAGCTGTCTACCGTATGATGCTACGCAGGAGAATGAAAGAAGATAAAGCTTGAACTAGGTATGTGATTCTCCTCTCATGTTGAACTTAAGACATCTCTTAGTAACTATACAATAGCACATATGGGTATGACTTCTATTTTGAGAAGAATGACAAAGATAGGTTACTTGTAAAGTGTTGTAAAGGAAAATACGTTAATTTATACCTTACATGGGTAAAAACCGTGACAAAACAATACAATATAAATAATCTGAATAAGAAAAAAAAAATATAGACACAGATTACCTCAAATCCATTGGAACTATTTGTGTAATTTACTTTTAACTTTTTTATACAAATTCTATTGCTTTAAAATGTAACAAGTTCCGAGTCATTTGAAACGTTAAGTTTGTAACTTATTTGACGGCTGGTCATAGGCCACGTCACCCCTATCATATCCATCAATAAACGGTCTTCCATAGCTACTCATCTTCTTCAAACAGAGCCTCTGTCGAGAAGGACGAAAATGGCGTTTAACCTTTCTTCTCCTTCACCCTCCGCAATTACACCTCTATCTGCCCATTCAAACCCTCGACATGCTCTACAATGTAAGTCACTCGCTCTCTTCTTTACCAAATTGAACAACCTAGGGTTTCTGAAAACACTCTCACCTTTCTTATTCTACTCAGCTTCTGTGATTGTTTGCGATTTCCGCTGCCTGTTTGTGAATAACGTTGATATTTACTCCAACTGAATAAATCAGAACGTTTTCCAACTCAAGTTTTTATTTGATTGAATCAAAACAATTTCATCTCATCAGTTTAAACATTGAAAACTAGCTAATTTTAAAAGTCGGAATTTCAGTTTCTAAGGTGAACTGACATTTCTAATTTTATGATTAGCTAATTTGAAGTTGGTGCGCTATCGCGTGAGATGTAGCTTAGAATCAGAGAGCTCTTCAGCAGATGTTCCAGACACCTCACCAGAACCTATCACGACAAAGGTCTGTACTCTGTAGACTGTATCTATTCATTTTTTTCTTTAGATATTTCCGATTCCAACTATGATTGATTGATTATTAAATCTAAATCAAAATCATCATCTTCACAGACTCAAAACCATTTGACATCACGAAGAAGATGTCTAGCATGTTTAACTTCATCAATAGCTTTAATTAGCAATTCAAGTAGTCCCCGGGGAAAGGCAATTGCATCTGATATGAAACCAGGGTGTCGGAACTGTGGGGGTAGTGGTGCTATTATATGTAAGTTTTGCTTTTTGTTCATAACAATTGGAAGATGGAAGATTAAATTGATATGATTGAAAGATTAATGTTGTTGATTTTGGGTTTTTAATTGGTATATGAGATGTTGATTTTGTATCTAGGTGAAATGTGTGGTGGAACAGGAAAATGGAAAGCTTTGAACAGAAAACGAGCTAAAGATACATACGAGTTTACTGAATGCCCTAATTGCTATGGTATAATTCTTTTTCATTCATACTAATTGTATTTAATTCATTGAAATTACAAGTGTTTGATAATTTATGTTCTTGATTTTGGAAACAGGAAGAGGGAAACTTGTATGTCCTGTTTGTTTGGGTACTGGTTTACCCAACAATAAAGGTCTTCTTAGGAGGCCTGATGCCAAACAATTGCTTGAAAAGATGTATAATGGGCGCCTACTTCCAAACTCTTAGGTCATTTTCCAAATTTCTATATTCATTATTCAACTTTATATGTGACCCTAAAAAGTCAAAATGTTAATCTTAATGTTTCTGCTTTTTAGGTGTCATTGGGAGTTGGGTTTTGGGGTGATTCTTGAATATGGTAAATAGAGGAGCAAAAATTGTTTGTTATATAGAAGCGGCTTGAGGGCAAAAACGTAATTGTCTTTAAGTTCAAGCTGCTGTTGAGAGGTTGAATACAGGTTTCAGCTTTGTTCATCTATAAAATAAGATGAAACGACTATTTTATCATGTATTATGATTATGATTATGATATGATGAAAGGAAGATAGATTAGCAATCTGCTGAAACCTTCTATAGAATTTAAAATGTAGCTTATTGGATACAAATTTTGCACTAACAAGAATGAAAGTTTATGGTTATTACATGGATTTTTCCATTTTGTGCAATAATCTTTAATAGAATGGAAATGTACTTCCACTTTGTTAAATTTTATTCCTTAGACAATGTGTGTTTTTTTTCATAAAAAAAATTGTACTATAACCCATTATTATTTATAAAAAATTTAATGACACAATTTTTCTTAAGATTTTATAATTTTGTTAAATTATAACTATTTTTAGATAGTTAGATAAAAAAAATTTATAATAATTTTTTGTGTTGGATTTTTGTGAGCTTTTATTATATTTAACTTTGTAGATTTGTAAATAATACATTCTATACCAATAATCAAGTAATGTCATCAATTACATTGTATTTAATATAAAAAATTTATATAATAATTCATTGGGTTTATGTCATAATTGAGTAACTAACTATTTGAGATATTCAAAAACACCAAAAGGTGAGAAACAAATAGTTCCTTACCAAAATTCAAATGAATAACTCATTCCATTTACCTAAACCATTTCATCCCTTTTGCATTGTGCATTGAAATTGTTGAGAACATAAATCTCATTATAAATAAATCTTCACTTATATAATAAATAATTCTCATGATAAATCACAATGCAGCACTTGTTACATTAGTTTCCAAATCCCCAACTTTCCTCTTCTTCTCATTCTCATTCTGCTTTTGCTTTTGCTTTTGCTTATTCAAAGATTTATCAGCTTTTGACACAATTTTTGAAACAGTAAACCCTGTGACTTCAAAGTTATGTGATCGATGAGGAATCAAAGCATTGCGAGGGGTGACATCAACACCATCATATGTCCAAACACCAACAACCGCTTCTCCCTTTAATCCAATTGCAAACCAACCAAGACCACCACATGCAATATCAACGCAACTCGAGTCCCACCAATTCCCACGCACGCAAAATTCCTTTCTTACCCATCTTCCAAGCTCCTCCACTCTTTGCTTCCCAATTGGCGGCTGAGGGTAAAATCGGAAATTACAACATCTTATTACCATATTACACGATTACAATTACCATGACAAAATGACATTTCGATTATCATGATTCATGAACACAAAATCTTGAATTATTATTGTACCTGTAATTGACGACCAAAATGATCTTCCACCATTGTTGATGCTTTCTCTGTTTTTCCCATATGAAGAGGAAGATGAGGAGATGCCCAAACAGTTACATATATAGAATCAACCGATGATTCTTCAATATCAAGCCTCATAAGTCCCCCAATATGCACAGAATGCCCAACCTAATTCATAACAAATTACAACAATAATCACCACAAAGATCACAAAAAATACATAATAAAGGGTATAGTTGGAACTTGGAAGATCACCTTGATCCTATAAGTCCTTGGTTTTAACTCTTTGCTGATGTGGACTAACTTCTGTTCTTCCGTAGTCAACCGCGTGGTAATCTGGTGTGGATGCAGTAACCCTGGTGTATCAAACAACTTTGTTCCACCAGGAAGCACACCCTCCACCCGAACAATCCCTAATGTAGTCCCGGGTATTGGAGCTTCGGTCAAAATGGTCATTTTACCACCTATGGATTTCCCCATTGCATTAATAAGTGTTGATTTTCCAGCATTTTGTGCACCGATGACCCAAATATGCCCTCGTGGTCCAGCTAATGACACCATATCATCTGCAAGATTCTTTAATCCCCAATTTTTTACAGCGCTTACAAGATGAACTTTGGTTAATTTGGTAGCTCCTCCTTCTCTTGCCCTAGTTCTAACCCAGTGATCGAATCCAGTTGGGGATAAAGATGAAGGGAGAAGATCGATTTTTGTAACGACTAACACAATTCTAGGTAAATTACCTGATTTCCCTTCTTTCCAAGATCTAGAATGAACGTCGATTGTGTTGGAAACTAACTCTGCGACTTTTCTGGGGAATGATCCGTCGAAATCGACGGCGTCTACCACCATTACTACGACAGTTCGTGTACCTGAAACCGAATTCAACCTCCTTCCGACTGTATGATCGAAGTCGAAATCGGGTAGCAGGTTTTCGACGGTTTGATCCTTCACTTTCCCGTAGTTCCTCAAGCTGTGACACCTCGCGCAAACGACTGGTCTCTCGGGCGATTTGGGGGTAGGGTTTTCGAGGGTTTCATCGGGTTCAATTAAGATTCCCTTTTTGAGAGAATCTGGAATGTGGGTTTCGTCTGCTAAGGGGTTTTTGTCGATTTGTTGTTTGTAAGTTGGATCTTTGACTGAGGGTGTGATGAAGAACCCAGGTTGGTTAGCGTCGGAGTCCTGCATTTGGATTCCACATCCAGGGCAAATTCTGCGGCTTTGGGAGGTTGTTTCATCGTAATTTCCGTCTCTGGAGAGGGTCGGAGGTGGAACCGAAGTGTGATTTGAAGAGAAGATTCTGAAATGGAGGTTTGGCGTTGCTAGGGGTTTTAGTAGGGTTTAAGAGATCTGAAATTTTTGGGGGGTTTATGATGGAGGTGAAATTGGAGTTGGATACAGATTGTGTGTATGCATAGGTAGTGAAGGGAGAGAGGGCAAGAAGGTTCTTGAGCTTTGATGGAGTTAATTTTCGAGAAATCATTTCTGTGTTTGAAGCTCTACTTCCATGGAGGTTTTGGTAGTTAGGGTTTGGCAGACTAGTGAGTAATGAATGATAGTGAATACTTCCACTAAGATCCCTTAAGTTTGGGCATAATCCTATAATGGTCCGTCGAGTTATTTTGAATTAAAAAATATTCCCTTTTGGTTCATTTTTACTTGGTATTTTGTTAGGAGCGATTAATTTAACTTTAAGAAAACCGTTTTTTTAGAAAATGGAACTTTCTTAACGAAGGTATTCATGCCCGTTTTCGTATACTTATTAACCCTTGTCGTGAAGATGATTCTCACATACATTAGAGTCATTGCAGATAAATCTCTGTGGCCACATAGACTTATGTGTCATACTCTGAAGTCACAGACGAACATCCATTACAAACGAATCTCCATGGCCACATGACTGAATAGTGAGTTGAACATTGGTTATTAAGTTACTCACCACATCTTTTGACATCTTATAATGTATCAATAGATAAAACTCATAGAAATGTAATGTGATTGAAGATCAAGATTTATATTTTGATATGTTATAAGAGATCAAAAGGACACATGTACCACCTATGTTATCATTATTGACATCACATCTAGTTGTCATGTAAATTAAATGAGACATATTAATAGAAGGACTTGCACTTTAAGAAATGGAATTGCGATGAGCCAGAAGTTAGAATCTCGCCTAACCACCTGTCTCCGTCTCCCGTAGTTCCCCCAAAACATCCGTTTGCCTACTTCTACTCTCTCCCTGTCAAGCTTGTTGGAGTGACATTGCCAAGATCTAGTGTAATTCCTTTTCCCCGGGAGTCGGGCGCACTAATACTAGTATCAATAGGAAGATCTTTATTCTTAGGAGATTTCTGGTTTTCTCCCCTATAGTGTCAAAGTATTTGGCATAAAGAGCCCCCAATAACTTGCTTGTCCTGTACGAATAGAGGGAGTTTCAACTCGGCCTTCTACTAAGAGTGTTGTACCGAAATTTGGATAATCCTAATAACTAAAAATTAATATTTTTCCTTAACAAACAAATTACATATGAGCTTTTTTGTATATATATACATGTTATGTTTCTTTTTTTTTTTGTATTTTATATTTTACCCTTAATAAAATGTTGAAACATTAATTAAGTATGTAATATAATATTTTATAGAAAAATCAAAAAAATATAGTATTTAATATATAATATAAAATTTAATTAAGTATGTTATTTAATATAAAATAAAATAAAAATGTATATTACAATTAATTTACTAGTGATGTTACTACGGTGAAAAAGTAAATCTCAAATCATTATTATTTTTTTATATATTTTTATGGCTATGTTATCAGTTAGATAACAAGAAGTTATTCTTGTGAAAACTTGACTTGGTGCCTGGTGAAGTTTTTTTTTCTTTTTTTTTAATTTAATTATTAGGTTGATTATTTAATAATCATTGTATTTATATATTTTCCAAATACGACCATTATTTAAATATCAATTATTAAATGCTATAACCTTTTTTTTAAAGTTCAAGTCGTGAGTTTCTTTCTTGCTTATGAAAATACAACTACTTAACTCCCAATTATTAAAAACGATGGTTAAAAACATCAGGGTATTAAAACTTTTAACATTTCCAAATGAATTTTACAATTTGAATTCAAGGTGTCATGAAAATGATCAGAAAACTTAAGTCGTGGCATGGTTGGTTTCTATATGGAATACTTAAAAAAAAATCAAAAATATCATGTGAGTTTAAATTTTAATATAGATTAGATTCCTATAGAGCTTAGCAGACCGTTATATAACCGATTTAAAGTTGCACCATTTTTACAGAAAAATGATCAAAAAGAAAGCTTACATTCTCTCGCCTTAAGATCATCCACGACGCAAAAATGTTTCAAGTAACAAAACTAACCCCTCAAACCCCAATCTAAACCTTTACATAGATATTGCATATAATTATAAACCCTAAAAACCACCCTTTTTTCTTTCTATTTCACAAAAACAAAAAAACAAGGCTGTGTAAGGCGGTGCGAGTGGCGGCAAGTGGCGGTGGTGGTTCAACTTCAAGAATCAAGACTGCTCTCTCCAAATCCGTCCGGCCACTTTCAACTTGAGCTCCTTCCTATCACCACCGGAGAAAAACAAGCCTATATTTCTTGTTATGATCAACCCATCTAGACTATCTCTAACCGTTTTATGACTATCACGGATACTCCGTGGGACCCCTTGCCATTTTAGCTTTCTTCCATTCCCACCAACCTCCAAACTATAACTGAATTTACTCGCGTCATTTTCATCCCCCATAAAACGCAAAAACGCCATGTAAACGGGTGCCATGCCCAAATGAAACGCCTCAAAGTGCAAACAAAATTGATACCCGAAGCAGTTGAAAATCTACATCCAATAAAAAAAATCAAGAAACTAGATGTCAGTAAGTCGTTCTTTTTACATTAAGTAAAAAGAAACAATCAGACATAAAGGAATGGAATAGAATGAACCATTCCATTCCATTCCTTGTGTGATTCCATCATACCAAACACTACCTACACACACATAGAGAAAGATCATACCGTTAACATCCATGTGGCGTTTTCAATTTCATGAGGATTAGGCTTCACATAGCGGTGGTTGAATGTGGACCCATCATGCATGTCAACATTATGATCCGTCTTGAGATGTGCAACAAGGAATGGAATATCACCCGTGACATAGCATTCCGTTCCCGCATATGGACAATTATACCCCCGATATTTACAATTCTCCTCATGTCTTATCCTACTATGATAAGGAAAAATCTCATGGCATCCCAAATAATGGTACTTGCATGGCAACTCTATCGACTCTGCAACTTTCTCCAATGCCAAACATCGTATATTCCCAAGCTCTTGTCGGCATATCGGACAGCTATTTTGCACTTTTGATTTACATACAACACATATCGTGTGGCCATTTGGACACTTCATAAAGTTATAACAAATACATCAGTAACCAATAACCAATAAACCAGTTACTAACCGGTAACCGTTGTTACTGTTACCGGTAACCGTTGTTACTGTTACCGGTAACCGCTAAAAACAACGGTTACTGGTAATCGGTTACTAATTAGTAACCAAATCTAAACTAATCAGTAATCGGTTACTACTAACCGGTTACCATACAGTAACCGGTTACTGGTTGGTTACTAACTTAGTAACCAGTAACCGGTTATGGTTACTAACCAGAGTAAGAAGAACATACTTGATGAATTGGAGGGTGCATTATGCCAAGGCAGACAGGGCACTCGAGTAGATCATGGACTGCACTGTTTGAAGCCAATCCATGCCTACCACCAGCAGATCCGCATAATCTCAGGCAACTTCTTCCTTCTATATTTGCAGATTTAACACCAAAATCAGCACGCGATTCACTAACATCTTGAAAAATATTACCACCAGGGCCCATAATTAATGGTGTTTATAGTTTCTGTTTGTGAAATTCCTCCTGACAAGAACAACCAAACAAAAGTTAACGTCTCATAGTCTCAATTCCACTCTTTTTCGCATGCTACAGAAGAAAAGATGCCCAAATTGTTATCAACTATATATATTTAGGTTTAGCTATTACACACAAATCTAAGCATGATCGACACAAAAATGATGTATTTATTCATGAGAAAGTGATCGGTAACTATGGGAGCTAAGATGTCTACAAAACTGCAAATTCAGAAACTCACGACCATGAAAGATAAGTAATTTTTCATCGAACCCTTGAGAAAACTATCGGGTTTCCTCAAATTTGCAGAATTGAAACATACCCAGAAACAAAAACACTTGCGATTGATAAAGGAAGTGGGAGAAAAAAAAAATAGGTAAGAAAGAACTGACCTAGAACTGCAAACCCCAGATGAGAAATTCAGCTCGCAGAAGATACAATCAATCAACCCATCAATAATTAGGGGAATTTTTCTTGTTGTGAAATTGATGTAATGAGCCACGATGAAGGTGTGATGTGGAAGCTAAACTGTGAGAGCAGGAGACTAGATTGACGTGTTGAAGCCGGAGTTTGTTTATAAAGAATACTATAATCGGATGAATTGAAGATGTCCAGAAAGTCAAGATTTCCCGAAATCAATCGCGCTTCTATTCTAATTTCTACCAATGGAACAGTGGCGCTTTTAGGATCGAAATTAAAATTGGGGTTGTTCAATCATAGATGGATGGGTGTACAGCTAAGGATTTGGGGAACTTGTTTCATGTCTCGAAGTTTAATGGTTGTTTTGTGTTGTCATTTTCTTGCGTACATAGTGTGCAAATGTTGGCTTCTAACAAATTATTGTTTGAATTTATAAACATTATTATATATTTATATATGTGTATGTATTGTATTTATCATAGTACTATCGGATGGTGTGCAAAAACGACATGTCGACATTTTATCAAATTTTTGTATAAAATGTGTTGGAATTATTAAAAAATGTAACAAAGACAGTTGAATTTTGTATTCATCTACATAAAATACAACACCCTTACAAATAGTATATAAATCAATGTTAGATTTTATAAAATATCATTATTATAATTGAACAAACTTATAAAACATCTTATACATTTGATTGGACCAATTCACATGACCCTGACAAAATATATTTTTTTAAAATAATTTAACAAACTTTAAATTTTACTTATAAGGAGTTAATAATAAGATCTAATAAAAAATGAAGCTTAACATATACTTTATGAAACACCGAACCTCAATAATTAACCACTAGCTCGACAAATTATTATTACTAAATTTTCAATTAATTTTTACATCATGTTGATCCATGTTTGTATATAAAAAGTACACGAAAATCATTTACAAAGTAATGATCATGTTACTCATGATTTTTTTTTCTTCCATATCTCTATTTGCTTTTCCATCGACGTTATTAAACTTTAATATACTTATATTATTGCATATATATATATATATATATATATATATATATATATTATATATATATATATATATATATAGATAGATAGAGGTAAGTTCAATTGAGAAAAAATAAAAGGTTGAGAATATGGGAATCATTCTCAGCCAATCATTTTTATATATGTAAAACACATTTAGATTAAGTCATTAAAGACATGTTGTTTTTCTGAATCGTTCATTCGTTCTTCATCAAAACATCGTGTATGCATTCATCTGGATCGTTCCTCTGTTCTTCATCAACATCATATCTTCTCCATCAACATCTTCTGTTCTTCATCAACGTCATCTGTTCTTCATCAAAAAAACATCAATGTCACATGTTCATCATCAAAAAACATCGACACTTCATAAAACATCAATTCTTCATCAAATATCTTCGTTATTTCATCAAAATGTTGTGATTCATCATCAAAAACATTTATTCGTACTATTAAGTGTAAGTCGTGATTTAATCTTGTCCAGTTTCATTGATGTCAAGCAAAATCGATATACATAATCCATACTTATCGATGTCACATCATTTTGCGATCACCAGTCATCGAAACTTCATCAATCGAACCTTCACCAATATCAAAAAACAGATAGCAATCGAAAGTACATCAACAAAACCATATATTTGAAGATTTTTTTTTTAAAATCGCTTTTCAGGCTAGAAAAACTTCGTTTTTCATAAAAAATTTCAAAATATTTGATCTAAACCTACTGATTATTGATCAATTTTATAGGATTTGATTTGTGCTGTAATTATTGGCTTCAATTGTTAATTTTTTCACCATATAATATAAGTTAATTTATTTGCACGCCAACTGTTCGATGAAAAATGCATAAACTAAATATATCACGTAATATTCACAAGTGAATATGTCTTTACACGAGAATCAATGTATCTCTTTTAAAATACAAGTACTATGTAATTCATATGTGAATAACATATAAAAATTTATTTTCACATGCGAATACATGTAATATTCACAAATGAATACATGTAATATTCATAAATGATAATGTATTTTTTTCGAAAAAAAAAACATTGTTTTGAGGTCCTAAGCAAGTTTGTAATTCATATGTGAATAACATATAAGAATTATATCAGCATGTGAACATATGTAATATTCACAAATGAATATATATGTAATAATCAAATGTGAATATATATGTATTATTCACAAATGAATAAAACTATCAATAAAACCGAGGACTACAAAATATATAAAATTTAAGATAAAAAAAGTATTTGATAAAATATATATTTTCACATACAACTAATCTTTTTAGGTTAATAAAATAATTATATAAGCATATATATTTTTATTAATGTTGTATTCATTTGTGAATAAATGATAACTTTTTTTTCGGAAAATTATAAAAATAGAAAAACGTCATTTTGAGGCCCTAAAGTCCCGAATGGCCGAAAAAACACCGTACGTCACGGCGAAGTGGTGAGTTTTGTACATCGCACCATTTTACAAAAACAATATGCGAATTTCGTCCAATTCCGAGACTAAACTTCATTGCGGCAAATTGTTTTGATGATGTCACTAAATTTCATTCCTACTAGTGATGACATCATCATGACATGCTATTTATTCATATACGAATAAAGTTTAGAAATCATTACGACATATTTACTGATGATGTTACTAACTTCCATCCCACTAGTAAAAACATCATTGTAATATGTTATTTGTATTTATGTGAATAAACTATACATGTATATTTATTTATTTTGTGAATACAACCTTTATATATAAAAATAAATAATACACTATAAGAATTGGTTTGTGAATAGTTTTTTTTTTGTATATTGTAACACATTATTTTACATGTAAAATCAACATTATACTAAGACAAACAACATTGTATTGGTTAGGAATATCATTTGCATTTGAATTTAACACGATCAAAATGAAGAATATATTAAATTGTATAACATTTACACGTGAATATAAAAAACATATTGTCTTGTCAATGATATCTTCTCAAATACGTCAACCAATCGTCAACCACCAAGATATGAACAAACCATTGATTGAAATGTTATTCTTTTATTGAGTTATAACGATACCTGAAAAACATGTGAATACACATAAAAAATGTTAAAAATATACTTTTAGTTCATAATAATAGCGATTTATCACATTCTAATTATCACATGGTATATTCACACATGAATGTATAATCATATGTGAATATTATATGATATATATTGTTTATATTGTATATTTACATGTGATATTACATGGTATATTCACAAATGAATATTACATAGTATATTCACATATGAATATTATATGGTAGATTCACATGTGAATATTATATGGTATATTTACTTGTGAATATTACACATTCTACTCATCACATCTATATATTGCATGGTATATTCATTCATGAATATTACACGGTATATTCACATATGAATAATATACAATATATACACTTGTGAATATGATATAATATATTCATATTTAAATATTAAACGATGCATTCACTTGTGAATATTACATAGTATTTTCATTTGTAAGTATTATATGATATATTCACTTATGAATATTAGATGATATATTCATATGTGAATATTACACAGTTTATTCACATATGAATATTACACAGGATATTAACATATGAATATTACAAGGTGTATTCACAAATATATATAACTTTTATATGTTATTCACATATGAATAACATATAAAATTGTATATTTGTTTTGTGTTTTAATAATCATATACTGATTAAGGTGCGAAAACATATTCATATGTGAATATAACGTGGTAATTTAGTTTATGCATTTCATCAAACAGTTTGAGTGCATACAAGTAAGCTTTTTTAAAAATGCTAAAAACATGATACTTTGACTATTTAAAACTTACAAAATAGTAGATTGATAGAGAATTATATAAAATTTTTCAAAAAAAAAATGATTTGATGTTTTTCTAACCTTAATTTCGAAGTTTTGTTTGATGATCGATGTTGAATGAATGATATGAAGTGAAGTTGTTGTTGATTATCGATGATGTTGATCTAATGACACTGGGAGTATAATTAATCGTAGATGTTGAAGATATGCTCGTATTCAAGCAAAATTGAAGGTTGGATTGAAAGAACCAAAAACGACTTTTTTTTGTCTACTGTTGAATGACGTTGATGAACGTGTTTTTGTCGAAGATGGATGATTGATTAACACTGGATGATGTTGATCGGGGATTTAATTGAAGAAATTTGGATGATCGTTGAAGGTTGGAGAAGAAATTTGGATGATGAACAATCGAGTAGTAATGAATTTGAATTGTTATCAAATTATCCACAGTTACGTATCTGTGATTGAAGGATATCATATCATATATACAAGTTTGTCACCATGTATTTTATGTTAAGGTGCTAATTAAATGATTGGCTGAGAATGATTCCCCCATTCTCAACCTTTTTTTTTTTTTCATTTGAACCCTCCTATATATATATATATTGGAAAATATTATTAAATAATAAGTAAGTTTCAAATTACTTTAAGTTTGTCATATTTTTTAAGAGATATAATCACAGAAGTTTTAATTTGCTACCTTGTAATGAGTTTTTTTTTTAACATAAACTAGTTAAACTTAGACTATATGGAGACAATTTTATCATATATAGCCAAATTGTGATTTAGTTCTAATTTTAAAGCATTGAAAGCCATTGATGTCGTCATTGAAAGTGACAACTTTTTCCAATTACAAAAAAAGGCATAATCAAACATCAATCGACCATGTAATGATATTTACATAGGCCTGTTCAACATTGAGTTTTTCATGGTTTTAGAAGCATTGTGTTTTAAGAAAAAAAAACTTAGGAAAAAAATCCAACATAATTTTGCGAGCTTTTTAACTTTTTGAAGCTTTTAATTTTTGGTTTTATATAATTTTACACTTTAAAAGCTAACAATTATTTTTACCGAACTATTATGTACAAATAAAAGCTACAGTTTTCGACTTCCAAGTATCACCTGCTATCTACCATCTAGTTTTGCTAAATATGTCCATAATCAAAGTGATGCAAAATCTGTTTAATGTGATCGATGTTAATACTAATATTAGTGTTGATTGTCATGAGTATATTATTGATAAACTCTCCACCTATGATGATATTGTTTTAATTACTTTACATAATTCCATTTATATTTTAGTTGTTAGTTTTGTTTTGTATGAGACGTGGGTGGAGAATTTAATTGAATAATTTTAATATCTTCTCGAATAACTTCACTTCCATTTTTAATAATTACTTTACACTTGGACTATAAGCAAGATTATTAGAATCATTTATTTGATACTCTCTAGTTTGTTTTTTTGTTTTTTGTATTAAAACAAGTACAT